AAAAACCTAGCTCATTAAACACAATGCATGATATGCTCTTACTAAACCCACACCGAGTGCCTCAAGGGACATTCACTAATACCTTGCAAGGTGCCTTCCCTTTTGGGTCAAAAATTGTCACCAACCCCAGTTCTCTCCCTTCTTCTTCTTCTTCCTCCTTCTTGATACCACTCCCGGTCCACAATGCCCATCGTGGTTACTGTTGAGTTCCCTTCAATTTTTTGACCTTCAGCTCCAGATTCATATGCCACAGATGTCTTCTGTTGTCCAGTGAACGGGGGATCCTGAGGGCACTGATTGGGTCTTCGATGCGGCTTAGTTAAGTCTGAAACTGGGCTAAGGCCTTAGTCCTAGTCCAATGGCACGAAGCATGTCGGGCGGGCCGTCTGAAAGGAGCTCCTTCGGGAACCGATCGGGCCTTTTAGCCTCACCTCTGTGGATACTGACTATACTTGCCAAGTTCTCCACTGTCCATCAAGAGCACAAAAAAGGAGCTCTGTTCTCATCTCCTTACTTTTAATTTTTGGAACTTTTCCACAGAGATAGCTCTCTGTTGTCGGAAGAATTATCTGACGTTTTGTTTTTTTCCAAGATTCCTTTCGTGCTTCCACTTCCAGTGACGTCTCGATCCTATGTTGTGTACAATACCGCCGGTTCGATTGAGGGTAGAAGAATAGTAACTATTAATGGAAAGACGCAAGTGAGTATGGCCATTGTCAAGACCAAATTTTTCATCTGAAGTAAGCAAAGACCATAGGCCCTATAGACAGTTAGGCAAGATTTAGTGCATTCATGAGGACGATCGAACCTTAGAATCAGACTTGGAATTGGATTTCCCATCAACAGTTCCCCGAATCAAGTACAGAACCACTACTGTGCCCAACAGACAAGCTGAATAGGTGAAAAGAAGGATCACCTATGAGTGGAACCGGGAGATGCCTCACACCAGAGCGTACTTGTTCAAGAATTTCCTGATTGGGAAAGTAGAACTAGCCCTAGAGGTGTAGCAACTTTAGATCTTTAAAAGTCTCTGTCAACCCCGTCTTTTCCTTGAAAGGAAGAGACTACCCTCTTGATCCAATTCACTAACTTGGACCTTTTCTTCACCGTGCCGAAAATGGCATTGATTTTGGGTCAAATCCTATCCCGATACACCATCTACCACGGATGGGTATGCCTTTCTGGGAATATCGGGGTTTCAGCCCTTGGCCATGTCATGTTGATCTTTCGTGACGTTTCACTTTCAAGCTGCTTATTCTACCTTACCGGTACTACGAATTTGTTAACGAGAGTCCCCTCATGTAGAACTATCAAGGTCAACGATAAACGAGACCAGGCGAGAAATTCCCTACTACAGTCAGGCATCCCACAAGTCTTGATTTGAGATCAGGCTCTGATGTTCTGAGGTTCAAGTGCATACTTTCCTTGTGCACTAAAAGCACTATATAGCCAAAAGGGTTAGAGTCATCTTCGTCTTCTATTCTCTCAACACTATTCACATCAAATCCATCTTTCTCGATCCAAGATTTACTTTTTTCTGGTCTCTTTAAAAAATTCTACTACTCTTCTCTTGCACTCCCTCTCTCTCACTTCACTATTCATCCTCCTCAACGACAACATGCCTATCACCTTCACCCCTACACCCAAGCATCTACCGCGTGGATTGAAACTCCAAAGGGTCGCTGATATCGAAGAGCGCTTCAAACAATCCTGCCCAAAGGAGCATAGCGCTAGCAAACGATTGATTGGGAACTCACTAAAGACTTCTTCGACACATACATCTCCACGTCCGAAAATGGCTTTATTGGGGCCGTGTTCCATGTTAATAGTCAATACCACCTCTTTGTGCTCCAGCCCGAAGACGCAAGGTTCACCATTTTGTCACAGCTCAGTTTCTTCGTCATTGCGCATTCCGAGGACATCTGGCATCTATTCGTCGCGCATAAGAGTACAGTAAGTCTGGAAATTACCACAATCGATACCATGGATACTGTGAACTTCGGTGAAATGGCACTGTGCAGGACGGAGCTGATGGGAAAACGTGTGGTGAATCTGGATTCGCCGAGCTGGACCATGCCGGCCTTTAGCACTACGACTGTATCCGATGAAGTGGTGGCAGCTGTCATAATGATGGGCTCTATGCAGAAGTATTTCTCCTACCAATTCGCTTTGCGGTGCGGAAACCCGTCTGTCACTTTACTCGGTGAGCGTGGGGACTGGGAACTTGTGGTAACAAAGCTTGCTCAGCTAGCTCATCTGGGGGGATGAGCCTGATAACCCCGAAGCACCGGATGTACTAAGTTTCTGAAGCAAATCTGCCGACAGAAGAGGTGGTGCAAGCGGACCGACCTATCTGACGGGCTGGTTATCGGCCTTTTGCTTCTGGGGTGACGACGGAAAGCTGCTGTACCCAGAACAAATTCTTCCAGCATGTTCGCGAGGCTTTAAGGAACGGGACACGGAGTTAGGGCTTGATCAGGCTTTGTCACGCCGTATAGACACAGATGAAACTCCTCTGGGCTATGTCTCCGTGCCGGTTAGAGTTGATAATCTTGGGCATAGATTTGACGCGATGATGTTGGCTGGGCTGATCGGCATACAGGGCCACCTCGAGTGGAGCAATGCTAGACGGTTCTAAGAGCCATTGTTACGCGCGAAACCTTCTATATATCGTTGACGATTACTACCAGAAGATACCCTGTAATCCAGTGATCCCCACTGGGGAGACTGGGCTTGATTTGATTCAGCTGGTATCCGGGTGGTTGATATGGGAAAATGATAAGCCAAAAGTGTGCCAAAGTGTGCCAAAAAGCACAACCCAGGCTCCCAAACCACCCAGGGCATTGGAGTGGCAGTTGGTCAGAAAAGTCAAGTAAAGGGTTAGGGGAAGTTAGGTGCGTCTATTTAAATTTCGGTTTCGTTCGGAGTATGGATATCTCAGTGTTTGCAAAACCTGACAGGGTTGTCTCAAATCTCAAGATTGAGAGTAGCCAGAAGATATAAATTCTACAAAATCTCTACTTTCCTTGCTTAGTGTCTATCGTCCTTAATTATGACATTAAGAGACAAAAAGACCGGAGAGCTACCACGGAGAGAGATGACTTGTTTTCATTGCAGCTGATGCTTAATATGTCATTTCAGATTTGATACCATACCAGTTATGCAGCCGAGGTATCTTCAACGGAGTGGAGTGTAGTTAAGGTCCTGTGTCCTGGTGTCAACTCGCTCTGGTTGGATTCACATATAGAATTGGGGGGTCACGGTCACACAGGGGGATTCTGTCAGCTAAGAAAGGAATTAGAGAGAGCAAGTTGTGTAGAATAGACATGAGGAATGGAAGTAGCTGGGGAGACAGGTGGGAAGGACTTTGTTGGCACGCGCTATGTAACTCTACAAGTGGAAGCATTGTAATTACGGAGACATCCTTGGAAAAAGAACCTCCAAACTAATCATACAATTCATTTCAATTCCTAGAATAATCCATCCGTCCCAGTTTCGCCTGTTCCCAATGATACATGCCCAAGCCCAGAATTCTGAGCAGCACTGGTGTAAAAAAGAGCCAGTGCGTATCAAGTTCAAAGTAAATGATGAACATCGTTTTCAACAAACCAAAGAAAAAAAAGCACGCGTGCAGTAAAGGCCAAGAAATGGGGTAGGTGCCGTTGTAGTTGTAGCGCGAGAATCCGAGTCAACAACAAGGTTTAGAAATAAATCAGCGTAAGGGTTGGTGTAAGTATGTACAGACGAACGTAAAGCGAGGAGGGAAAATGGTTTCGCGCAAGGCATTTCAGGGGAGGAAGAAAGGGGACAAGTTGAGCAAGCTCCTAGCTGGTCGCGGTCTGAGCTGCCGGAGCGTGCGGGCTCTTGCTGGAACCTTGAACAGCGCCAGCTTGGGCGCTGCCGCTGCGCTGGTTTTGAGGAGTGGCGCTCCGGCTGGGCATGGGTGCAGCACCATTCATGGCGGGCGAGCTAGTCGGACCAACGCGATTTTGCTGACCGGCCTGGGGGACCCGCATCATTGGGGAGAACCCTTGGTTTTGAGGGACCTGCATTGCAGAACCGCCGTTCGGGGTCTGGAAACTAGCCTCGTGGGGAACTTGGTAGTTAGCCTGAACGGCATTTGCATTGATGCTACCTGCAGCAGCATTCATCGCTGCTTGTTGGGACAAGCGCTGCTGTTGCTGTTGTTGATACTGGTTGAGTCGATCCGTGGCCAGCTTGGTCACTTGCTCGGGAGGCATATTCGGGTTCGTGCGTTGAATCTGACTTTGAAGAGTGCTGATTTGGGGCACGACACCGCTCGAAAGAGGATTGGGCTGGCCCATGCGAGGGGATGGGGTTGAGACGCCTTGCGGTGTGCTACCGTGGAACGACGGACTTTGCATCCCCCCTTGGTTTTGGAGGGCAGCTATCATAGCAGGGTTGTTTGGAGTACCATTAACATTTGCCATGTTCAGGTTTGGCGATCCCTGAGACCCAAATTGCGGGTTGTGGAATTGCTGACCCTGCTGAGGAGGATGCTGCTGCTGTTGCCGAGACTGGAGAAGACGCTGCTGCTCCTGCAATCGATTGGCTTCTCGAATCACGCGCGTGTTATCAGGAGAGGCTTGCATTGGTAGGCCTGGTCGTGCCCCTGGCGTCTGCTGCATTTGAGCTTGCGGCATCATCTTCATGGTCATTCCATTGGGCATCTGGCCACTCGGCTGTATCCCATTAGGCATGTTCTGTAGTGGAATAGGGCGGGCTTGGTTGACACCAGCAGTAGGAGGCATGCCGTTTGCCATTCCGTTCGGAGTTCCACCCGGTAGGCTAGGATTAGAAGTGGGGGGCATGGTGTTGTTACGCCCCGGCGCATTCATCATTTGTTGCTGGTTAGGTACTTGGCCGGAACGCTGCGCTGCGAGACTAGCCTATATGGGGGATAAGCCACAGTGCTGTCAAGTAGGGACGTGAACAATCACTCACTCTTTGTTGCGCAATCATTTGTTGGCGATACTGCTCCTGCCTTTCCTGCAGCTTCATCTCTCTATCGTACTTCAACCGGCTAAACTCAGCCGGAGACGAAATCGGTGGCTTGGGCTGGTTAGCCTCATTGGCCTTTCGCAATGAAGCGAGGTGGGAAGCTAAGAAATGAAATATTAGTGAGGTTCTTAGCACAAGGTGACATGCTTGTATTCCAAACATACCATGTTGCTGTTTCTGAAGCATAGTTTCCCGCTTCTTGGCCAGCTTTCGCATCGCATCAAGCAGAGCAAGATGCTTCGAAGATCGTCTCCGGTCCACACGAAGAGGCTGAGTAGTCCTCCGACGGACAGGTGGTTGAGGCTGAGCGTTGGCGCCTTGCTGCTGCTGCTGCTGTTGTTGCTGCTGTTGCTGGGCAGCCTGCTGCTGAGCCAAAACAGTGCGTTGGGCGGTCTCAAGCCTCTGGTGGTAAGCTCGGAAGTATTGAGTCTTGGACATATCTGCAGGAAGACCTTCCAGTCCTACCCATCGCTCGAAACATTCCCAAGGAGTCCGTCTCTCAGCGCCAGAGGTGAAGAATGACGACGGGGTAAGACAGCTAGAAATTAGAGACCAGTTGTAAGAGTACTCCTTGACCAAGCGTCGAAGTTCATCATCCTCGGCGTAAGTCCATTGCGAGGACGAACGTGATTCAAAGAACCCAACAGATGGCATGGGATGTTCAGTCGGAGGCCGAAATTGATGACCAGGGTGAATCCGATCACGAATGGGCTTGTTCTCTGGTCGGAACAGTGCAACGTTTGTCTGCTCAGGCGCCAGTTCGGTGATGCGATTATCCAAATCATTGCCGTACTGGGAGTAGTCATATCGGCTCCGTTTGCGAGGATGATCGTCATCGTGGAATTTGATCTTGGCCGATGCAAATTTGGACACTGGTAATAGTTCCGTTTTCCAAACTGTGTCAGGAGAGACTTTGAATGCTGGTGCGTTCGTGCCAGGGGCGATCTGGAGTGGTCCATATATAGGCAGTTCGTCTAACAACTTTTCGGCGGCGGGAGTCATGTCAATTGAGAAGTTGAACTCATCCGAGCCCAAGGAGAAGATAGCAGCCGGGGCAACTGTATCATGAATGTCGTGTCGAGGCTCGTCATTGAACCCATCACTGACTGATTCCTCCTCGGCGGATGGGATGAGATCCGGAGTGTGATGACCAACACCAAACACTTCATCACCAACATCGTCAGAGGGTGGACTAAGACCGGCCTTAGAGGTATCCTTTTCTGCCAGATTTGACTTTTGAGTCTTTGTTTGGACACGAAGCAGAGTCCGATGTTCCACGTCGCAGTTGACATATTCTGCGCACCAATCAGCACAACTCTTTGCAGCAGCAATCTTCCATTTTCGTTCCTCCCGGAAGTCGGTCCGCATCCACTTCATGTGATCTAGAAGAACGTCCCAGTGCGTTCCCTGGCGGGGAGGTTCAACAGAGCGTTTTAATTGTCGCAACGGCCATCGGTTGGCATTTTGCAGAGCATAAATGCGCCGGAGAGTCCGGCAATCCATCTGTTCTTGGTATTCAAGCAGATGATTGTTAGTATTCAAAGTCTTGTGCGCAGATGCCAGCAGAGTATTCAGGTTTGTTCCCCGTGGAGGAGCGTACGCTCTGTTCAAGAATAATGTGAAAAGATAGTCTTGCTCCTCATTCAGTTTGGCAACCGCATCCATGTCTCGGTGCGTCAGGTCCATGTCGGCTTTCTCCTGCTGAGCTGGCTGCTTTGGAAATACAACAGTTGAAAGTCGGCTTCTCTCCTTCTCCCGCTCCTTTCGGTCCTTGAAGCGCATTCTTGCAACAGAATCAGGAGAGCCTTGATCAGATGGAGTAGCTGGGTGGCTTCGATCATGAGTAACACTCTTAGGGGTTTCTCCAAGTATCTCGGAAACAGACTTATGTCGAATAGCTCCGGATGATACTCGAGTGGTCATGCGCTCCGGTTGTATTGAGCCAGGTTGAGTGGCTGGCATAAAAAGCTTTTTGGCCGTAGGAGTCACGACAGCTGAATCTGCAATGGTTTCAGCTTGTGCGGTTGGTGACAACGGGTCTCGCATATTCGTCTCGGGTCCTTGCAGTGATTTCGCTTCAGATGAAACGGGGACAGGTTCCTGGTCGATATCCATGCGATCTGTGTGGGCCCCAGTGTCCATGCTCTCCAGAATCACCTCTTTCGATGAGGGTAGATCGGTCATCACACTAGTCAGAGGCTGCTCGGGTTTCGACTGAGCCTCTTCGAGGCGTAACTGCTCGTCTGGGGTCAAGGGAACCAAACTCGGGCGGGCATGGGCAGGTCGGTCAGGCTTGTGCTTTGGGCGATCAATTGTCCCAATTTCCTCGGCCACTTCTTCTGCGGGGCTTGTGTCGGGTGATGCGGCAACTGGAATAGGGGTGTTATTATTGTAAGGGTCAATAGAGGAGGCAGGTGATGGTGGTTGTTCGTGCTGAGATGGGCCCAAGGTAAGAGAGGGTCGTGCTTCGTGTTTCTTTCCAAGAGGGTCGGAGGGAATTTCCAGAGATGGAACTCCAGTCGCAGCTGGTTTCGACACTCGGGGAGACGTCTTTGCTTGATTTCCCTCATGGTCGTAGGCACTGAGCGGTGTTTCTGCTGCCAGTGAACTGACTTTCTGTTCGGGACGCAATAAATTAAGTGACTGCACAGCGATCGGTGGCACGTTGAGATCCTTTGAATTAGAGCCGATGGCCGGCACTGAGGTCCCATAGGTTTCGGTTGTGTCCACCGGGGTAGGCGCAAGATTAGGTGTCGCAGTCCGGGGTTGGTCTAGAACGGGCGTTCTGCGCTGTTGAGGCTCGGTCGCGTGCGGAGCTCCACCATCAACAGTTAAGGGTGGAGGAATTCCATCAATAGCTTTGTCACTATTGATAGCAGCTGTTGTCGGGGGGGTTGCATTTCGACATGGTGAGCCCGCGCGCGCATGGGTCGGCGGTGGAAGAGTATCTTCATTGAAGTAACGACCTCTAGATAGGAAATCAGCATTGAGATTATAACCCAAAAATGGAATAATTAAATGTGAAGTTAACTCGAGTAATGGAGTAGCAAGGTGGTTGGACTAACTTGGATAGATCGTTGGCGTCAAGGAAGGCCTGTTCTTTCTGGTGGTATTGAGCGTCCTCAGTCGCGCCAAACCCGACCGTGGCTAGATACAATGCGCTGAGCTTGCGCTTTCTGCGCGACAAACAGTTTCTAACCACCAAATTAGCGATAAATTCATCGTTTTCTAGACTTCCAATTGAATTCCTGTCGCGAAAAAAATTAAAACTTACGCGATCTCATCGTTTTTAGATCGTAGGAGCTCGTCACGGAGCATGGAGTCTAGCTTCGGAACGCAGCATCCGATTAACGCGGGAATAAGGGGAACTGATCGAGCGAGGTCATCCAGATGGAAAAAATCGCTCAAAAAAGATGAAAATGATGGGTGGAGGGTAGGAGGCGATGAAAAGCACCTGGGGCAGGATCTTTTCGAAGGGGGTGAAAATGAGGTTACAGGGCGGTATGAAAAATGTGGAAGAACGGGAAGGATGTTGGTTTAGGTACAACCAGTTACTCGCTCCCTCTATTAAAATTACACGGCTTGACCAGGTACCTGGTACTTCAAAAGAATTCCCTTTGAAGATGAAGGAAGTGAAAAATCACTTTGTGTTATCAACTTTGGGGAAGATTAGTTTCTACATTAATGGGCTAATATTTGGTTGTCAAAGACTTGTGTGTTTCAGAAAGAATGCTCTCATCAACTGGTAACGCACCGTATTAGTTTACTGACATTCAATGGCTCTCCGCTTGCGTATGTGAGGCCTCAGGCATTTTTCCAACTATTGACACCTCATAATTATGGCGAGAAGGCATTTCCGCCAGGCACCCATTTCCTATCAAAGCGGCCGATAAACCGCCGGCAGAAAATCAAGAAAAAAAGTTGTCCGCCCTCTAGATCGAGCTTTCACAGCTACAATACACAAACCACAATCATTATTTGAGCAACCATGGTGAAACGCAAGAGAACTGATGCCTCTAAGGAGGACAAGACTGCTGGGACTCCTCCCAAGGCTACCAAATCCGTCCCTACACCTTCAGAGACTCTCGATGCAGCTTTCACTGTCCAAGTTGTCACAGGCTCTTATGAGCGGGTGCTCCATGGCTTCACAGTCGGGGTCCCAGCCTCTAGCCTCAAAGCAAAGACCGATGCCGACTCTCCAGCCATCCAATGCATGGATACTTTCTTATTTGAAGCCCATGGATCTGCGATTCGTTGCCTAGCATTGTCGCCACTACCCAAACCCACCGACCCTGTCGATGCCCAAAAGGTAATGCTGGCCAGTGGTAGTACAGATGAGCGCATCAACTTGTATTCGATCTCCGCCGCACCCCCTGCCGTGAATGAAGACTACCCATCCGTGCCAACCTTCGCCGGAAACAAGATCCTCGAAAACCCCCGGAACCGTGAGCTAGGATCATTGTTGCACCACACTGCTAGTATTACCTCGTTGAATTTCCCTTCGCGAACCAAGTTACTCGCAGCCGGAGAGGACAACACAATCTCCGTCTCCAAGACCCGTGACTGGACCGTCGTATCAACAATCAAAGCACCAAACCCAAAAATTCAAGGTCGGCCAAGCGGTGACACAGCGCCTGTCGGAGCTGCTCCATCTGGAGTGAACCATTTTGCGGTGCACCCCAGTATGAAGCTTATGCTGAGTGTTGGACGAGGTGAGAGATGTATGAGATTGTGGAATCTCGTGACCGGCAGAAAGGCCGGTGTGTTGAACTTCACCAGGGAGGTCCTACAAGGTGTCAAGGAGTCTAGATGGAGCACTGGAGAAGGTCGGCGCATTGCATGGGACTCTGAGGGAGAGGAGTTCGCTGTTGCCTTCGAATGGGGTGCGGTAGTGTTCGGAATCGTAAGTTTTCTGGATGGTATACCATTGAACAAATTTCTGACTATCAGAACAGGACTCGATCCCTAGATGCAGAGTTCTTCCTAGCCCGCGGAGCAAACTTCACCAGATGAAGTATATCTCTTTGCCTCTGAAGGGGGGTAAAAAGGAAGATTTCTTGGCTGTCTCTACAGAGGATGGCCGAGTGATCTTCTATTTGACCAAAGAACTCAAAGAAGCGGAAAATGATACCGAATGCTCAATCTCCCACGCTACTCCTGTTGCTCAGCTTGGTGGAAAGGAAGCTGGGTTCCCTGGCCGCATCAAGGATTTCGAAATCCTCACTCTTGAAGGTCAAGCAAAGGAACTCCACAACGACTTCTTGGTCGTCACTGGCAACAGCGACGGAGTTGTCCGTGTTTGGAAGGTGGCTGGGAAAGATGTTTCCGCAGCGAAGCAAGAGAAGAACGACACGACTCAAATTGGAAAGCTCTTGGCCACCAATGAAACTGGTAACCGAATCACATGCTTGGCTGCCTTCGTCATGTTGCCTGCGGAGGATCCATCTACACTGATAGACTCCGAAGACGACTCTGAAGATTCGGTGGAGTCATCGAGTGATAGTGACGATGAGTAACCTACCATTGGTTTCAGCTGTTATACCCTTTGTACCGTCAAATAGATCCCCAGTGGCAATCAATGTATCATGAGCATGAAAAAAAAAACCCGGAGCCTGCCATAGAAAATAATTACGATGATGTTTAAAAGAAGTTTCTCTTTTAAGATATGAAAGTTCAACTCAATCAAGAATGTTTTAGTTTATTACTACCGTCACTGCTCTATCAACCCAGTGTGGCGCACATAGTGGTGCAGCTGTTCAAGTCGTCAGGGATTTTCTTGCGCAAAGATACGTGAATCACCCACAATAAACCGAGACACAAAATCAAAACTGCGTAGAGTAACTGAAACAAACGCCCAATTGAACTATATATCTTATAATATTCACTAAACCCGTTAGAACGTAGAGGAAATGTAGAGTTGCCATCCAGACACCGCCCGGCTCTCCACTACACACAATCCCCCACCTACATTCTTTCATTATCATATCGCCCGCGGGAAGCAATTTTCATCCGACCTTCCACCTTCTATCCACCAGCTTTGCTTAACCACTTTGCGCTTTCACTCAACGTCGCTGCAGATCGCGAGTTGATTTTCTACTCTACTTTGCAAATATGGCTTCCAACGGCGATTTCTCCGATGAGGGATCCCAACCCGGCTCGCCTATACTCGATGCCCACAACGCTCGCGGTGAGGTCGAGGACCAGGAGCCCCTTGAACAGGAAGAGAGGCCTCTCAAGTCTGCCATGAAGAAGGCTGACTCTGCTCCCCAACCGAAGCGCCCAGAACTGCCCGAGCAGCCTAACCCGGAAACCCTCGACCTGTCAAAATTGACGCCTCTTTCGCCTGAGATCATTGCCCGTCAGGCTACTCAAAACATTGGTATGTGACTGTTAGTTTTTGAAAGCTTCTAGGCTCAGAAATTCACCTCATCTATTGGGTTCCATTTTTTCTAGATAACAAATTTACTGACGTGGTTATCAGGCACGATCGGACATGTCGCTCAGTTAGATACCCTCTCTTGCATTTTTCTTCCTACACGCACACTGATATAATCCTAGCGGTAAATCTACCGTCGTCAAGGCCATTTCTGAGGTTCAAACAGTCCGCTTCAAGAACGAGCTTGAGCGCAACATTACCATTAAGCTTGGGTACGCCAACGCGAAGATTTACAAGTGTGACAGTCCCGAATGCCCCCGACCCACATGTTACAAGAGTTTCAAGAGTGAGAAGGAAGTCGACCCGCCATGTGAGCGCGAAGGATGTTCAGGCCGTTACCAGTTGCTTGTACGTACTCTTGCTCCTTCCCCTCTGACCTCTGAAGTCCAATCTCGGGGTCTTTCCTCAATTGGTCCTAGTCTAACATCTCATACAGCGTCACCTCAGGTATTATCAATCCACAATCTACCTCCAATCTGGAGTTTCCGTCTTTACCAAGTAAAAGCTAAAAGCTAACCTTCGATTCAAAAAAAAAAGTTTCGTCGATTGCCCTGGTATGCTCGCTAGATCCGTTTACATCCAAAGTTGGAACACCGCTAATCTTCAATTATAGGTCACGATATTCTGGTTAGTTTTCATTTCCTTGCGCATCTTGGGAAACTCGGCTTCTCTTTTGAAAATTGATGCTAATCAATTTTGCATAGATGAGCACTATGCTTTCAGGAGCTGCGGTCATGGTAGGTTTCATCCCCCGCTGCTGCAATTAGTATTTCAAGGAACTGGTGATAAGCTAATATTAATCTACTAGGATGCCGCCCTCCTCTTGATTGCCGGAAACGAAACTTGCCCCCAACCCCAGACCTCGGAGCACTTGGCTGCCATTGAGATCATGAAGCTCAACCACATTGTCATTCTCCAAAATAAGGGTAAAGTCATGCTTCTTGCAAACCGTCTATGAAACAAAGCGCTAACTTTTGAAAATAAAATAGTGGATCTCATGCGAAGCGATAATGCCCTCGAGCATTACCAGTCCATTCTCAAGTTCATCCGTGGTACCGTTGCTGATGGCTCGCCCGTTATCCCTATTTCCGCCCAGCTGAAGTACAACATCGATGCTGTTAACGAGGCACTTGTCCAGACGATCCCTATTCCTCTCCGCAACTTCGAGGCTACGCCCCACATGATGATCATTCGTTCCTTCGATGTCAACAAGCCCGGTGCCGAAATCGATGAACTCAAGGGCGGTGTTGCCGGTGGCTCCATCCTCACGGGTGTCGTAAAGCTGAACGACGAGATTGAGATCCGACCCGGTCTCGTCACCAAGGACGAGCAGGGCAAGATCCAGTGCCGACCCATTTTCTCCCGCATTGTGTCTCTCTTCGCTGAGCACAATGACCTCAAGTTTGCCGTTCCTGGTGGTTTGATTGGTGTCGGTACCCGTGTCGACCCCACGCTTTGCCGTGCTGATCGTCTTGTCGGTTTCGTTCTCGGTCACCGCGGCCGTCTTCCCGCTATCTACACCGAGATTGAGGTTAACTACTTCCTGCTCCGCCGCCTTCTTGGTGTCAAGACCGCCGACGGCAAGCAGGCTAAGGTTGCCAAGCTTGCCAAAAACGAAGTCCTGATGGTTAACATTGGTTCCACCGCTACTGGTGCTAAGGTCCTCGGTGTCAAGGCCGATGCCGCCAAGCTGAGCTTGACCAGTCCCGCCTGTACTGAGGTTGGCGAGAAAATCGCCATCAGTCGTAGAATCGAGAAGCACTGGCGTCTGATTGGATGGGCCAACATTGTTGCGTAAGTCTACGGGTCTGATGTTACTTCTGATGACAAATGCTGACTATCGTTATTCGCAGTGGTAACACCCTTGAACCTGTGCAGCAGTAAAGCAGTCCTTTGAACGATTTTCCAGTTCGGAATGGGGAGCTTGGGGAATGAGGCCCGTTATGTCGGAGAATTTGATTTGCACATAAATCTTGCTATATCCCGGGACAACGATCTCACCCCACCGACCCTCGAGCACGAGTCTTGCGATCTATGATTGCAAAAAAGTTTTATGGTCATGACGAGTCGGAAAATTAAAGACGTGATTTAACTGGTTCCCCCGGCTGAATAGAGAAGGTGGAGGGGACATGCAACCCTGTATTGTCGCCGCCTCGATCAGATTACCTGCTTCTTGCATATCACCAACCAATTTTTTTGGTCCGTGACTGCATGCTAGGGTTTGATCAGAGGGACGGACGACGAATGGGACGCAGGTGAAGTCGGCGAATAAGACATGTGCTTTTTTATTTCCATCGTACGAGGGAGTTGTTTTCAAGAGGTTTCCTGTTCATTGCTCTTTTTTTTTTGTCTGCATCATCGGATCTTATGTAGATAGGCCTATACAGGTCTGTGGCTTAAAATGCAGGGAAATTAGGGCTGGCACAATTTAAGAGCCTCTGCATGTTTGATCGATTTGGAAGGCTCTTCGTCTAGTAGAAGTCAAATTTGAGAACATGTATAAATGAGGGTAGAAGCTTCTACTTCGTAGTCTGCATGCTGGATATATATATTCCAGAACTCTACTACCCGCATTACACCCCACAGGATGACTATAGGCCCCAAGCTATACATTTGCACACACGCATGTAGTTGTTATTGTTATATTTAATAGGGAGACCAAAGCGACACCAGGAGAATGCAAATATAGATGGATAAACAATGTTGGAGTTTTGTCCTACTGGATCGTCGTAGTAGCCCTGTAGACTTCAGCATTGGCATCAGCATAAGTTATTTATAATTGTATAAGTCTAGATAAAATCCAACTAATTCCTATTAAGTCCTGATCTCGCGCCTTAGACATTTGGCCCAATTTTATAGAAACAATTCATAAATAGTTTTTATATTTTGTGAGATTGGCGTTTCGTTAGGCCCCATAGAATGCCCGTCATGCATGAGATCTGACTAAGGCTGCCGATAATAACAAAGTAGCATCTTCGGCCTTCAACAACATCTCCTTTCTTCGCCTAGTTGCGCGATTTCAATCATGTATATCCTCGAGGTAAGTTGGTTCGATTGAAATCCCGAACTGTATACATGGTAAATACGATTTTTACCATGGACACGTCGCTAATAACTATTCCCCTCTAGCAATTGGCGCGCTTGCTCGATCGCCCGCTCTTTCCATGGAAGAACGTGCTTGTGGGCTTTTCATTGGGCCAGTTCGTTCTTGAAGGCTTTCTCTCACTTCGCCAGTACAATGTTTTGCAACGGACAAAGCCTCCCCAGGTTCTCGCGGGGGAGGTTACCCAGAAGGTCTTCGACCAGAGTCAGGTATGAACACGATGATGCAGCATCATACCATTTTACAGAGGCTTATTGGAAAAAATTTGCAGGCATACGGTCGCGCAAAGGCCAAGTTTAGCTTCGTCTCCGGTCTTTATGGTCAAATCCAAAACCTTGCATTCATCTACGGCGATGTCCTCCCCAAGATCTGGGGTCTGAGCGGCCTGCTGCTGGCTCGGTACCTCCCCGGTCGGTTCCAAGGCGAAATTTGTCAAACATTGGTATTCTTCTTCGGTTTTAACATTTTAAGCACTATTCTCTCGCTGCCAGTCTCGTACTACAACACTTTTGTGCTCGAGGAGAAGTTCGGTTTCAACAAGCAGACGCTCAAGCTTTGGATCACGGATATGCTTAAGGGTCAGATGCTTGGAATTGTTTTGGGAGCTCCTATCATCAGTGCCATTCTTAAGATTGTGCAAAAGTTTGACAGCTCGTTCTACTACTACCTCTGGCTGTTCGGTGTCTTCCTCCAGGTCTTCGCCATTACCATCTACCCCATTGCAATTCTGCCTCTGTTCAACAAGCTCTCGCCTCTTGAACCCGGCGAACTCAAGACCGGCGTTGAGAATCTGGCCAAAAGACTCGAATTTCCCCTCTCCGAGCTGCATGTCATTGATGGCAGCAAGCGCAGTGCCCACAGCAATGCCTACTTCTACGGTCTGCCATGGAAGAAGCACATTGTCATTTACGATACTCTGATTGAGAAGACTGAGCCCGAGGAGGTTGTTGCTGTGCTGGGCCACGAGCTTGGCCACTGGAGCCTCAGCCATACCACCAAGCTGTTCGGTATAGCTCAGGTACGAACTTGCTCAGTAGCCCTTCTGGCGAATTACCACTAATTTTTCAACCTAGGCCCATATGTTCTACATCTTTGCTCTCTTCTCCGTTTTTGTCAACAACAAGTCGCTGTACCAGTCCTTCGGGTTCGTCAAGGAACAGCCTATCATGATTGGGTTCCTGCTCTTCTCTGACGCTCTGGCCCCTATGGATGCTGCCGTGAAGCTTCTCATGAACATCCTCAGCCGGAAATTTGAGTTCGAGGCCGGTATGTTCTGCCCGATCTATCACATGCGCTCAATTATACTAACAGTACTCCACAGATGAATTTGCCCATAAGCTTGGTTACTCTGACAAGCTCGCTTCCTCGCTCCTGAAGCTCCAGATCCAAAACCTGAGCACTATGGATGCCGATCCGATTTATGCTAGCTACCACTACTCCCACCCCATCCTCACCGAGCGTCTCGCCGCGCTTGGCTGGAAGGGTGGCAAGGTCACCAGCAGCAAGGAGGAGGACAGTGAAAAGCCCATCAAAGCCGCGGACCGCGAGCTGTAAATTGGATGCCTGCGTTACCGGCGATTTCAAAGTGACATGGACTTTTTCTTTTGTCCCAGTGACATTTTGGAGCATCAATCTCGAGTAGAAAAAGTGAGGCTTGGGAATGTTCCATTATGTATTCATTGGATTGAAGTAATCCGTCTAAACTCTAAATAACACTTTTTGTCCAGACATGAAATGCAGTACTTTTCTTGTACATCCAAAACCCTAACCCAGCCCAGAACAATAGAGCAATAGAACGAATGAAAGAAAAGAGACTCCGACCCAATGCAGCAACGCCCACAACCAAAGATATGCCCACACCCAACACTCAATCGGATTCCTCAGCCTTCGCCTGGGCCTTACCCTTCTTCTCCGCCAACCGTCTCTCCTTCTTCTTGCGCTTGCGCTCCTCCTTATCAATACCGGCCTCCTGATTCGCGAAAGCCTCAGCCTCCATACCAAACTCAGCGTCATTCATGATAAGATCATTACTATCGTCGAGCTGATCGTGGTTGTTGGTCTGCGGAAGACCCGCAGCAACATCCAAATAATCTTCTCCGGGGTTCTGCTTCGCGACAGTCAGATCGCGACCGAGGATCTCGCCAGCTAGACCCGCTTGCACACGCTTCAGGTTGTGGAGGATCAGGTTCGGTGCCGCGGCAGTTGTCCGTGAGACGGGGCCGTGCTCGCTGATGCTAGCGTTGGGTTGCAACGATGGGTCTGTCGCGGCACGGTCCAAGTAGGCAGCTAGAAATTCCTGCGCTGCAGACTGGCTGATGTTCTGTGTGCCTTGCACTGTGACTGGGGGGAGGGCCTGGGGACCTTGGGTTGCCATTTTGGTGGAATTGGTTATTCGCCGAGTTTAATGGGTGAGGTTGAAGGGTAGTCGTGGAGGCGATGATGGCGTGATTTTGACTTGATTGTGAGATTAACAGAGCTGGGAGTAGGGGTCCTCTCGAGTTCAGTATAGCTTGGGAGCAAGATGGAGAGTTGCACGAGCGATGTTGAGCATTTCACATCTTGAGATCAAAAAAGTTCGGTGACGCTAGTCCCGATCGGGTAGGTCTTATTAACGGGATGCGCTGCAACTACGGAGTACAGTTTTAAATTGACAGCTAAACGAACATGATTATTTGGTAGTTATGGGATATAACCTACACTCAAAACAAATTCAACTATATCTCTCTACATCTATTTATCCCAAGTAATCAAATGTACATCATTGTAGCCATGCAAAGTACATCTCTAGGCGGGTCCGTGCCAGCGGCTCCGCGCTTAATTTTCTGTCTTCCGACGCCGCGTCTTAACCACCAGGCCTCACTCGATCTCCAACTCCAGAAGGCTCCCATCCCACCTCAATTGCCCTCCAAAAAAAGCCAGGGTCTTCAAAATGTTCTGCCTCCGCGCCAGAGCCGTGCCCTCAACCTTCCGGGCCACCACATCGGCCATGCGAACCCCGATGAACAGGTACACAGAGCAGCCAACAACCTGTCCAGCCTTGAAACCAATCAGATTGCTAACATCTCTACTCTATACGGCAATAGATTCGCCCAAATTTCGCAACAATCAAGCACACCCTGCACAATGTTCTCATCCCGATCCTTCTCCTCCCTCCTCTCCACGCCAACCCGCTTCCAACCCTCGCGAACACTCGGCGCCCGCCTCTCCTCGCCAAGCGCAACAACCGCCTCCGCCTTCTCACCCTTGTCATCACTTCTCTCCCAGAAGGCACCCTCGCAGTCCCGCTCGTTCTCCGCAAGTGCCTCTCTAGGCGTGCGCCGTGTGACGTTCCGCCCGTCACGACGGGTCCAGAAGCGCCGCCATGGATACCTGGCGCGCAAGAAGGACAGAAATGGGCGTAAGACTCTTATCCGGAGGACTCTTAAGGGCCGGAAGGAGTTGAGTTGGTGATTTTATTCGTTTTGGGTCTGATCCTTTTGAATCGTTCGGGGGCTGTTCGAGGGCTGTCCGTGGGACATGATGGGATTTATACCATGAAGGCCACGGGGGTCGGTTGGATTAATTGGAATCCATCCCGGCTCAAGGGGATTGTGGAAAGAAATTGAGGGGTCAATTTAGGATCTTCCATTGATACTATCAAAGTCTTCAAGGTTGGATCCGGGTTCAGGCAAGACAGTTGCCGGAGGGTCTTGCTCTGGCGTGTACCATATTTACCTCTCTCCTGAGGATGTGTGTGACTACATTTTATAGTGTGCGAATTTTTCAGCTTTGTTTGTTTCAGTCGAGATCGAGGCGTTTACTGAAATGCAGCTTGGTTGCAGCAAGTGAAAAAGTAGATTCATCACTGTCTAGGTTATGTAGAGTCTCTTGACACTACAGGTCCGTTTATGTGATCTACCTCGCTACCGATGTATAGATCGTTCATCATACACATCACTCGTCGTCACTTTCGTCCTCACTATCCTCCGATCCGGTCTCGGAGTCCTCGTCATCATCATCATCTTCGTCATCGTCCTCATCGTCCTCATCTTCTTCCTCGTCGCCAACCTTTAGACCATAGTCGTCCTCAAACTCCTTGAGAGGCTGAACAATAGGAGTGAAGCCGGACGTTTCGAAGCCCTGCTTGATGGTCTGTTCACAATCAAAAGTTAGCAATCCATTTCTGCAAAGCCAAGACTGGGGAGCAACTCACCTCTTCCAACACAGTCGCGCAGGTGACAACCAAGTTTGCAGACTTGGGATCAAACAACGGCAAGATGATCTTACGCAGAGCACCCTTGATCTGATCGGTGGTGATAGCGCGCACATTCTTGAGCATATTCTCCTTATAGTCGCTGGGCAAGTTGCGCACAACTTGGCGGATGAAACTGCCCTGGGCAGCATTAGCAGCAGTCATCTGCTCATTGGCGTAGTTGACCACGATGCTGCTGATGGCACCCTCCAGCATCAAAGGATCGAAAGGCGTAGCACCAGACAGATAGTTCTCAACAATCTGCTTGCTAGACTCAAACGCCTTGTGGGCGTTCGGGGACCGGTACACATCGAAGTTGACAAAGCCAGTGTCAATGTTGTAACTAAAGTTTGTGCCGTACGCCAGACCAGTACCACGGACTGCAACCCAGAGGGGACCTTCGACGGCGTTCATGTACGAAATCGCGACCAGCAGTGCGGGTAGATCCGGTGAATCGTAGGAGTCCAGACCACGGGCGGTGGCGTAGGCGAAAGACGAGTCGACAGTCGGCATGGGGACAATGTAAGACTTGCCACCAATTTTCTTGCCGGCATCGCTTAGCTGAGATCGTCGGTCAGTGATAGGGCGCAAGTCAGTGCTGGTTCCCAGGGTCTCGGCGAAGGGCTTCCAGGCCGAGACGGGGTTCTGGAGTTTTTCGAGATCGGCAATGACAATGATGCGCACGTTGTCGGGTTGGAAGAGAGACTTGCGGATCTCCTCCATGCGACTCACGATTTCCTCGGGCTTCTCGGTGAGCAGACGCTTGACGCGCTTGAGGTAGCGAGCTTTGACCAAAGTAGAACGAGCACGGGTGACCGACTCCTCTGCGTAGTGAACCATCACTTGTATAGCCGCAAGCATGTCATCACCACTGCGCTTGGAGTCGGGCACATCAGCCAAGAGACGGGAGTTGATAGCCCGGAGTCTCTCCACATCGAAGACGGACTTCCAGCACAGCTCCTGCAGCCAGGCGACGGCGTTCGCATACTTCTCCAGCTCGACCTGGAAGGAGATTCGGAGCATCTCCGAGTTTCCTAGGCTGCGAGCAGTCTCCATTGAGTATCCGACGGTGTCTCTCTCCAATTCCACTACGACCTGCTCAAAGTCAATTGTCTTGCCAGCACGCTGCACCGGAATGTTGAAGAACGCTTCGGTGTAGATGGACAGCAATGGACGCAACTGAACGGGCACAGAATCAGCTGAGATGAGAACTGAAAGCTGGACAAAACTACTAGGGATGTGCTCGAAGTGAATGAAAAGGGACTGGTCAGACTTGTCGGCATCTACAAGGGGTTGGATCTTATTGTCGGGGCGTCCAGCCTTCAGGGCAGCACCGGAACGAGCCGTGATGGTCTCCATGAAGTGGATTGACTCAGTTCCAGGGATAGCGAACTTTTCCAGGAGTTCCTGCGGAATCTCCTTGTCGTTCTCTGCCTTGGCCTTTTCGAGTTTGTCGGCAAGCTCCTTGAGGCCCTTCTCGCCCAGACGCTCCTTCTGTGCAGCAGCCCGGTCCTCTTCATCCTTTTTCAGTGTGGCGGACATCCTCTTGGATGGGACACCCAGGATAGTGACGTGGGCCGCATCCGATATCCATTTCTTGATGAAAGAGCGCCATTGATCCTCGGACCAGGTTTCAAGGACATCATATTCCTTCAGAGTTGCGACATCCATCAAAGTCGAGCCATCGCGCTTTCCGAACAGGAAATCTGAGATAACGTACTCTGCGAAGGAAGAGGCAGAGGACTCCGTAGAGAACTTCCAGGTTCGGCGCTGTCGGGCGATGCACTCTTTCAAGTACTTCAGATCCAATTCCTTGGCCATTGCGTCTTGGAGGATCTCAAAGAACCTCTTCTCAACGCTCTCCAACTTCTCTGTTTCTACGCTGGTCAACGTGAAACGAACCTCCATGCTAGGGCGGTCCTCAGTTGCGTAGTAAACGGCACTAGCGAGCTGTTCTTTCTCAACAATGATGTTCTCTAGCAGAGCTGCAGATGAACCAGCCAGGTACAAAAGCGACACATTAAGAGCTCCGGCTGTGATACCGTAAGTATTTTATCTTAAAGTTGGGGGTTTTGATCTTACATAGCACGGCGTCAGTGCAGTTGGGTCCCATGAATCGAATTTCGATTTCACCAAACGATTCATCTTCTTCGGGGAACTCGACCTTCTGAATAGCTGACTTCTCCAAGCAGGGAGCCTGCTTGGAATCCACCCAAGGTCTCTTGAATGGTGCCTCTGGGCTAGGGATGACATCCAAGATAGTATCTTCGAAATTATCCAGGATCTCCAGCATGTTGTCCTGGTCGACTTCTCCAGTGAGGATCAGGCACAGATTCTTGGGCTGATACATCTCACGGTGAAACTCGCGAATCCGTTCCGCAGGTAAGACACGAAGCTGTTCCATCATACCTCCTGTCTCATAGCGGAAGCCCACACCAGGCGGGTAGATTAGTCGCCGGGCTGCCAGGTCGATCAGCTCAGCGGCATTGTTCTGTACACCCTGCATCTCGGAATATACGACGCCGGCATCATTTCCAGAGCCATCAACATGGTGAACTTCAGTGTAGCAGCCTTCGTCAGTCAGAGTAGGAGCAATCACATGCTCCAAGTAGACTGGCAGGATACGAGCAAAACCTTCCCAGCCTGCGGTATCCAGCGTGTAGGCAGTGTGATCAGTTGCGGTCCAGGCATTGGTACTGGAGTACACGCGGGTAGCTAGCTTGTCCAGGAAGCCCTTGTAGCGGTAATTGCGGGAACCCATGAAGCACAAGTGCTCCAGAGTATGAGGAGCACCCGAATCATCGTGAATTTCGGTAGCCAACACAAAGTAACCGTTCACTTTGGGACCCGGCTGGTCGATGACGACCACCCTCATACCGGTGCGCTTTGATTCATACTGGGTGAACTCGCTCGGCGAGTAGTCAGGTTTGAACTGCTGGAGCAGTTTGAAGTGACTGTTCTGCACCGAGGGCGACATATTGATCAATGGGACAGACCCAGTGAATCTGTTTTGCCGCAAGCTTGACAGTCTGGTTATTTTTGTTAGCACTTCTTGTCTATTAAATAGGACTTCAAGATAGTCGTAGAGGTAAGCACGTTCACGATGGATAGATGCCCAGGGAATAGTCTGATAAGAAGTAAGACAACCACAACTCGGATGAAAGAAGAACATTCACTCCAGGCTGGATTCGCAAACGAGAGGAAAGAAAGTAGCGGCAAGCAGATCTTTTCCACAACGTGTCCTAAAAGGACATATCCAGCAGACCTGCGACATGTCCACAAGGACAAGTGACATGGGTGGGGTGGCAAGGAGAAATTTGGGGATAGAAGGTTGATACACTGAACTTCCTTCCATAGGCATTGAGGGACTAAGAACACAATTCACATCGACTTACAGAAAACACGTCTTCCGACTCAGGGGGAGAATTCGAGACACGGTGAGTCTGAGATGTCTTCAAAAGGGTGTTGGACCCGGAATTTTTCAAGTTTGGGGGAGTCCTAAGTCTCCGGTTTTCCTTACAAAGCGGGCAACTGAAAGAAACAATTATAACAAAGAGAGAAAGATTAGATTTTCAATAATTAGCAACCAGTCACATTCAAAGGAGATATAGTCTTCTTAAAAATTCCACTAAAAATAAAAGATCTAGAGAGCACATACACACCACGTGGGGGCGGTGACGCCCAAACCTACGGGTTGCTGACAGCTCAACTCTTCTTTTACATGTTCATCTACACTTTATATCTCCAAAGCTCCGAGGCTTATGTTCTGTGACAGTTGACGCATCATTCCGAAAAACTTTGACGTCATGGCAGGAAATACCGAGATCCTGTGCCAGGCGGTGCTAGGCTTCGTCACCGAAGGGACGTACCCCGAGGAGAGTGTAGTTGCTGGTAAATTTCCGGCAGCTGCTCTCGCCAGGGAACTCGAGCTTATATCGAAGGCGCGTGAGCAGGTAGAGGTACGACATCCCAATGTCGATCTATACAGATAATGATCACTGACAAGCGCTATTTTCTTTCATCAGAATGAGATTAGCTCTTTGAGTCGCGAGAACATCTTCGATGCCGACGACTGGATAATCCAAGCGAAACAACTTCACGCCGACATAGAACGCTCTAGATTGACTGCGCGAGAAATCGTTGCGCAGCATGAGCATACCGAACCTCTGAAGGCGAAGGTTGAAGATGCGAGGGCGAAAGTCGCCCTGGTTGAGACGGAGATTGCCTTCAATCAGGCCGTAGCGGGGAGCCTAGAGCAGGTGCACCGATTGTGCCAGCAGCTGGAAGCAGGGCGAGCAGCTCTCAGACGTGGCCAGATCACCACCGCCATTGAGCAGTTGGAGTCTACCGACGCAGCTGTTGGAAAGGACGCCTTCTTTACCAATACAAATGTGATGGGTATACTTTCTGACGAGGTTTCAATGCTGCGATCGGAGATTGTCGAGGCGCTTCATTCGCGCTGGGCTGATCAGTTGAAAGTTGACCGACAGCAAGGTGAATTCTATGTCTCCAGTGGAGATGCAGCTGCAGATTCTCTTGAGAGCACTATTTCATCGCTGGCCCGACTGGATATACTCACATCTGCCCTTGAGAAACTACAAAGGGATCTCTTGTCTGCGATCGTAAATCCGATCTTACTACCCCACCCTGATGGAACTAGCCATGGTGTGGTGGCGACGGAGACCAGCATTCGAATTGAGCCTGAGGCCTCAAAGACAACCGTATTGGAGACCCTGGATCGCCTTTCCAGTGTTTTGTGCTACTTGCGACGACACTTGCCGTCATCGGTGTCCGCAACTTTCTCCGAATCGTTCATTGTGACTATTTCCTCGAAGATGATATCCGAGTGGTTATCGTCTGCTATTCCCACCGATCTAGGTGGCCTCGCCGAATTTGAGAACATCCTGAACCATGTTTTACACTTCACGAAGCAGATAGAGTCTTGGGGTTGGACTGGCCAAAAAGAACTCGTCTCATGGGTCAACCAAGCTCCACGCCTGTGGTTGACTCGGCGCAGAGTCGACTCGCTCGATAGTGTTCGTAAATTTATTGCCGCCAGCCAGGGAACCACAAAACAGGTTGAACGAATTGAAAAGGAAAATGTTTCTCAGTCCGAGGGTTCTCTATTAGAGAATGCCAGCAATGATGACTGGGATGCGGACTGGGATGACGACAAAGAAGACGAGCCTAAGGAAGCAGAAACAGCAAAACCCGAGGAACTGGAGGGAGATGTCAGTGCGTGGGGTCTTGATGAGGAGGAAATAGAGGATAATCCCAATCAGGCCAAACAAGAGGCAGCTACTTCTGCGGAAGATGATGACGCCGACGATGCCTGGGGCTGGGGGGACGAAGATGAAGATGACCACAAAGTCATCAATAAGCCTTCGCAGCCCCAGAAAACAGCAGCGATAAACCCGACCGACCAGAAGAATACAACTGGATCTGCATCGCCAAAAGAGGTCATCCTGAAGGAAGTTTTCACGATCACCGACATCCCTGAATCTGTTCTTGGGGTCGTTCGGCAGCAAATTACTGATTCAAAGGATATTTTGCAGCCTATGTAAGTTGTGCCTTTTCAACTCTTTTTTCCTTTCAGATCAAACTAACTAGACTCAAGTTATGCCAATTCCCGCGTCGCCTCTTCTGGTACAGGTCTTCTTGCTTTGCCAACCTTGATCCTGGCTATGTTCAAAGCTACATCATCCACATTCTACTCACTGAAACTCACTTCAGGGCAGATGTACCTGTACAATGATAGTCTGTATCTTGCAGATGAAATTCGGAAACTAGTTGAAGAACATGAACTATCCAGACTCCAGTCCGATATTGAAGCTTTGGAGAAATTTGGCAAACTTGCATATAGCAAAGAGATGCAGACGCAACGCACGATCGTCACAGATCTGCTTGACGGAGCCCAAGGATTTGGACAATGCTCCGAGCAGCCGTTCCAAGCAGACTGTGAGAATTCTATTGGTGCAACTGTCGATCGAATTCGCGATGTTCACAAGGAATGGCAACCTATACTGTCTCATTCCGCGCTGCTCCAATCAGTTGGATCTCTCCTATCAACAGTGATCAACAAGGTGGTCATTGACATTGAAGATTTGGGTGATATCTCGGAAAACCAGTCACGGCAACTTGTCTCCTTCTGTAATCAACTCTCAAAATTGGAGGACCTCTTCATGCCTGAGACAAATGGTGATGCTGAGGTCTTGCCCGTCACTGCCATCTACGTTCCGAGCTGGCTCCGCTTCCAGTATCTGATCAATATTCTGGAGAGTTCCCTTGCCGATATCAAATTCCTTTGGCTCGAAGGGGAGCTAGGCTTGGAGTTCTCTGCTGATGAAGTGATTGACCTGATTGAGGCCTTGTTTGCAGAGTCTGATTACCGGCGACGTGCTATTTCAGAGATTCGAAGAGCGCCCAGAGGGTAAATTTCATCATCACAATCGAAACATAATTTATTCACCAGATAAATGCTTAAGCTGCAGTGTATTGTAATCAACTTTGTAGACCGAGTGGAGCCATCTCCGCGCTCTGCACAAGTGTGCCGCACGGGTCACCGTATTTTTTCCTCACCCGCCAAAAATGCGACAGCCACCAAAAAAGATTCCATTTGCAACATCGGCAGCAATTTTAACGATTTTACAATGAGCGAAGACTTGGTCACTTCTGCTGCTGCAGAGTCTGCGCTGAGACAAGTCCGAGTGCAGCTCATTAGCCAGCAGGAGGATATTGCTCTGCCTGAAAGCACCGGCCCAATTCTTGTTCCTACTGGTGAGAGACCCATTGCCTATCAAAAATCATAAATGGTAGTATCAAGTATTGACTCATCCTTAAAAAGGACTTCGAAGATATGCGCTGTCAACACTTGTAAACAATCTTCTTTCAAGCGAAAAGCCCATTCCATTCGAGTTTTTGATCAATGGAACTTTTTTGCGGACCTCGATTGATGAATATTTGGTCGACAATGGTATCTCTGCTGAGACGACCCTCGAGATTGAATATGTTCGAGCTTTGATCCCGCCTCTTCACATCGCCTCATTCCAGCACGATGACTGGGTTAGTGCGACAGACGTCCTTTCCACGACTTCACCTGCTGCATCCTGGGCCTCAGGTGCTACTTTCACCAAGGGCCAGGAAAGAATCCTATCAGGAAGCTATGATGGTCTCCTTCGCATCTGGAATATGTCGTCTGAGACTATTGCGACCTCTCCTGCCGCCGCCGATGGTGGTCACACCGCTTCTATCAGAGCCGCCAGGTTTGTTTCCCCGAACCAGATCGCATCGGCAGGTCTTGATCGTACGGTCCGATTGTGGAAGTATACGGAGGGTGAAGGTGGTTTCACTGGAAAAATCTCTCCTCAGCTGGAGCTGTACGGTCACAAGGCTGGAATTGAGTCACTAGCAGTTCATGCCAAGTCCAATCGTCTGTTGACTGGTTCTGCAGACAACACTGTTGGATTCTGGTCAACTAAGAAGGCTGATGCTCCGGCAGCACCTGAAAACTTGCTTCCTTCCAACAATGCTCGGAACACAAAGCGCCGCAAGCTGAACACATCCGTCACCACACCTCGCCGTGGTCCTCTGACTCTTCTGTCAGCTCACACGGCACCTGTCTCTGCTGCTATTTTCGACGGAAAAGATGCTACCGTTGGTTACTCGGCCTCATGGGATCACTCCCTGCGGACCTGGGATCTAGTCACTGGCTCTCTGGTTGATACTCGCACCACATCACACTCACTCCTCTCGCTCGAGCACCTCCCCGAACTCAGCCTCTTGGCTGCCGGTACTGCTGCTCGTCATATCACTCTGATTGACCCCCGTGCATCTGCCACGACTGTGGCTGCGATGACTCTCCGAGGCCACACCAACGCTGTTGTCAGCTTGGCTCGTGACCCCCACAGCACGTATGGTCTCATAAGCGGAAGCCACGACGGCACGTGCAGAATTTGGGATATTCGGTCCACCAAGACCGATAAGGAAGGTGTGGTTGGCGAGAGTGTTTACTCGATTACCCGGAAGAGCCTCGAGGAGGAGGGTAAGTCGGATAGCAAGCGGGTTGGCGGTGAAGGTGTCAAGGTGTTCAGCGTGTGCTGGGACAAGACAGTGGGCATAGTCAGCGCGGGTGAGGATAAACGGATCCAGATCAACCGCGGCGAAGGCGTGCTGTCTTCGAAGGCATGAGTGCAAAAATGGGCCTGGCGTTTAACACTTGGATGAGGGCAAAAGTTTAGACTTGCACTTTTTTTTTCTCCTACTTTTTCAAATTCGCGTATTTCCTTAGCTCGGAATGGATATATATCACGTAGCAACCTGACGATCACTACGTCTTTCCCGTACACATGGTTTTGTTTTGAAGCTTCCATTGACCCCAGGTTTATGTCTGGCCTATAATACATCCACAGAGGGGTTCCATTCACATACAAACTGGCAAAAGTCGAGTGCCAGGAATCAAAAACGCCAAATCCATGCCTCTCGCGCAAAATAGTGAGACAACACCATAAACGTAACAATCGAACGCGACACCACCAAGTTTATAGTCTGCGCTCCATACGGTTCAACTTGACTGGAGTTTTGATCTGTTGATTAGATGTTAGCATTGAGCTCACATAGCATCTTTGAGATATAGCAGGGCAGGCTGAGATATCAAGAGAGCACAAAGGGGAAAGAGAAACCTACCTGAGTCCGTGTCCGCTGTCCCCTCACAGGCAAGCCCAGAGCATGACGTCGGCCGCGGTAAGTTCCGGTTTCTTTCATGCGCTTGATATCGTTCAGGACTTCTCTGCGCAGATCGTTCTCAATTTTCATATCGGACAGCACGGCTGTGAGGTCAAGGACCTGCTTGTTGGCCAGCTCGCCGACGCGGCAGGTCGGGTGAATGTTGAAGCGGGACATGAGGCGGCCGGAGCTGTTGCTGCCGATTCCGAAGAAGGTCTCAAGGGATTTCTGTTGCGTTCAGTGTATGTTAGTTGGGATGTCAAGGTTGCGGGCGCAATCGGGAGGGTTGGCTTGCCTTGAGCAGGTTCCGCTCGGGGAAATTGACACCAAGGATGAAAACCTAAGATTCATCAGCGGAGCTTCTTTGGAGGATACATTGCAATTTGACAGTGGCTATCTTACCATCTTGAATCGTGTTGGCTGGTTGGTGTCCTGACAATCGAACGGAGCCGTCACTAGTTGCTCTTGTTGAATTCCGGGAGAAATCCTCCGTCAACGTTTACGTTTTTCCGTAGCTACTCGATGCCTGAATTTCACGGCACCAACACTGTTCTCCGCACGCCGTTGCAAGCTGGCCTTCTTCTCCTCCCAGTTGCTCCATCTTCCCCTTTCACTGTATCCTACCAGAGCGGTGGCAATCAGCAAGCATGTATTTCCGAAACCTCTTCGTCTCTCTTTTCTTGGTCTTCGCCGTCAGCTTTGCGCTCGTTCGGGCTGAAGAAGCTAAGGAGCCTCGCGGCCCCAAGATTACCTCCAAGGTAATTGACACTGGTGTTCTGGCTCGGTCTATATGCAAGCCGTACTGACTTTTGGTGGCAGATCTACTTCGATATTCAGCATGGAGATGAGCCCCTTGGTCGCATTGTGATGGGCTTGTACGGCAAGACCGTCCCTGAGGTTCGTAGTACTATAACCCCATAGAATCAGCAACTGAGATTTATTGCTGACATCAAAATTTCTACAGACCGCTGAGAACTTCCGGTATGGTCCACTTACTAAGTCAAATTTCCAACGAAAACACTACATGTGCTTACTACTTCTAGCGCTCTGGCTACTGGCGAGAAGGGCTTTGGTTATCAGGACTCGACCTTCCACCGTGTTATTAAGGATTTCATGATTCAGGGTGGTGACTTCACCAAGGGCGATGGTTCGTGAACTTCATAGCATGTCTTTTTTTGCAGGATACTAAGTGTGTAAAGGCACCGGCGGAAAGTCGATTTACGGCAACAAGTTCAAGGATGAGAACTTCAAATTGCGTCACACCAAGAAGGGCCAGCTGAGTAGGCATTTCCACTCCTTTCATATGATCTCACAGGCATCTGACCATTCTTAGGTATGGCCAACGCCGGCAAGGACACCAACGGTTCTCAATTCTTCATCACCACCGCTGTCACCTCGTTCGTATCCCTTCCAGTGATTCCTTTGGTGCAATAACTAAGTAAAATTACGCAGTTGGCTCGATGGCCGCCACGTCGTCTTCGGCGAGGTCCTTGAGGGCTACGAGATTGTCGACAAGATCCAAAACGTTCCTAAGGGATTTAACGACAAGCCTAGACTGGCTGTCAAGATCGTGAAGAGCGGTGAGCTCGAGCTTGAGCCTGAGACCGAGGACAAAGGTAGCCGTGATGAGCTCTAGATAGGTGACTGTCTGCGCGATGTTTTTTCTGCTGCTGGTCGGAAGTGGCTGATGATGTTGGATATCTTTAAGAACTCGACCAAGAGCCGGGCGTCACCGATGAAGCTCCCGATGCTACCGATGTTCCCGAGGCTGCCACGCCATCCTACTTCCTGCAGCCGGCCGTGATTTTCTTCGTTCTGGTCGGCGTTGTGGGTGTCTGGATTGCCCGTCAGCGAGGCCAGCAGCACCAGCAAGAGAAGGAACAGTATGATGCATAAGAGATGATGTTAGATCAATTATACATTGTTTTAGGCCTTCCCCCGCCTCTATAACCCTATATTCAAATGTCCGATGACACTCATCATAAACTTGATAGATCATTTCCATGGATGTTACCTTGGTCACGTAAGTGGTGATAAGACTTTGACGGACTGTTGAAAATCATCCACTCAGATCACTCGCCTCTTGTCTTAGTCATGCATGGCGTCCAGACCGCCCGCGAGCAGCAACTGGCGAGTAGAAATTTCTTCAGTGGCGGCAAGTACCTGATCGGTACTTCTTATATGCCGGCATTTACACACAAAGACAGGTTCCTAGAAAGTACCTCCAATAGCCACACAGCACCCCCAAACTCTCCAACTTTTGTTGCCTCCTTCCCACAGACTTCATCCACCCGTTCTCTTCTCTCTTGATACAACCCCCTCATCATCCCTTTTCTCACTACGCTCTCTCTCTCTTTCTCTTCTCTAGAGTTCTTAGATTCGGGAGATTTGCATTTTCCATATTCTCTGTGGTTTTACTGAGCTTTCTTGTTTGCCACTCGATCTTTTTTTTTTCTTATCGAGTTGAGAAACAGAAAAGCGATTTGATCTTTTCACTGTCTCTCTCTCTCTCTTCTCTCTCTAAAGGTACCCCTTACGTGGATTTCTTATTCTTTGCAAGTATCTTTTCCAGATCACTTGCGCTTTACCTACAACCAACCATTTCACGGTGAAGCAGAAAAAAAAACTGTACGCCTAATCTTCACCTGCTTCGGTCGACGCCGGACAGCTTCTAACTCTTGCTCCGCTATAGACATTTCCAACCGCAAAAATGGCCGACGGCTTGCAAATGGGAAACCTTTCCCTCAACGAGTCTCAGCACGCTCCCCAGGGTAACGCCCCTGTGGGCCGTGCTGCCTACATTCCTCCTCACCTTCGCCAGCGTGGACCCGGTTCTGGTCCCGCCCCTGGCCCCAGCGCTAACGCCGACGCCGCCCCTTCTGGACCTGGCTTCGGTGGTCCTCGGTACAGTACACAAAACACTAAATCTCATGAAGCGACAACTGATCTTAAATCTTCTAGTGACAGTGGTGGCAACTGGGCCAACGCTAACGCTCCCAACTTCAGCCCTCGTGGCCCCGCGAACGGTATGACCAGCTGGACTCCCGATGGAAAACTCCGACCCTTCAATCCCAATGCTTACGGAAACCCAGGATCTTCTTACGGTGGTGGTGGCAGCAGCGGCAGCGGTGGCTACAGCGGTGGTGGTGGCTCCCAGCAAGCTCGTGGCTCAGGCGATGGCCAGTGGCGCGACGGCAAGCACGTTCCCGGTCCCGCCAATGCTCGCCTGGAGCGTGAGCTATTCGGAGTTCCCAACGACCCCTCTAAGCAGCAGACTGGAATCAACTTCGCCAACTACGATGATATCCCCGTCGAGGCCTCCGGAAATGATGTCCCCGAGCCTGTAACCCAGTTCACTAACCCTCCTCTGGACGACCACCTGATCGCGAACATCAAGCTTGCCAGCTATGTCATCCCTACCCCAGTTCAGAAGTACTCGGTTCCCATCGTCATGAATGGTCGTGATCTTATGGCCTGTGCCCAGACTGGTTCCGGAAAGACTGGTGGCTTCCTTTTCCCTATTCTCTCCCAGGCTTTCCAGAGCGGTCCCTCTGCCGCCCCTGCCCAGGGTGGTGGTGGTGGCCAATTCAGCTACGGCCGCCAGCGTAAGGCTTACCCCACCTCTCTCATTCTCGCTCCCACCCGTGAGCTGGTTTCTCAGATCTTCGAGGAGGCTCGTAAGTTCGCTTACCGCTCGTGGGTTCGCCCTTGCGTTGTATACGGTGGTGCAGACATCGGTTCCCAGCTTCGTCAGATTGAGCGTGGTTGCGATCTCCTCGTTGCTACCCCAGGTCGTCTAGTTGATCTCATTGAGCGTGGACGCATTTCCCTGGCTAACATCAAGTACCTTGTCCTTGACGAGGCTGATCGCATGCTGGACATGGGTTTCGAGCCCCAAATTCGCCGTATTGTTGAGGGTGAGGATATGCCCGGTGTTGATGATCGCCAGACACTCATGTTCTCGGCCACCTTCCCCCGCGACATCCAAATGCTTGCTCGTGATTTCCTTAAGGACTACATCTTCTTGTCCGTTGGCCGTGTCGGAAGTACTTCGGAGAACATTACCCAGAAAGTCGAGTATGTCGAGGACGCCGACAAGCGCTCCGTCCTGCTAGACATTCTCCACACTCACGGCAGCACTGGTCTGACTCTTATTTTCGTTGAAACCAAACGCATGGCCGACTCACTCTCCGACTTCCTTATTAACCAGCGCTTCCCTGCGACCGCCATTCACGGTGATCGTACCCAGCGCGAGCGTGAGCGTGCTCTGGAGCTCTTCCGTAACGGTCGCTGCCCAATTCTGGTTGCTACTGCTGTTGCTGCCCGTGGTCTCGATATCCCCAACGTGACCCACGTCATCAACTACGATCTTCCCACCGATATTGATGACTACGTTCACCGCATTGGTCGTACTGGTCGTGCCGGCAACACCGGTATTGCCACTGCTTTCTTCAACCGTGGCAACCGTGGTGTTGTTCGTGACTTGCTCGAGCTCCTGAAGGAGGCCCACCAGGAGATTCCTGCTTTCTTGGAGAGCATTGCCCGCGAAGGTAGCGGATTCAGCGGTCGTGGCCGTGGTGGTGGTGGCCGTGGCCGTGGCGCTGCTGCCACTCGTGATGTGCGTCGTATCCCTGGTGGCATGGGTGGTGGCTTCGGCGGTGCCGGCGGCTACGGTGGTTCCGGCGGTGCAGCTCCCTCATACGGCAGCGGCTACGGTGGTGCCGCCGCCCCCTCCTACGGTGGTGGTGGTGGTGGTGGTGGTGGTGCTGGCTATGGCGGCGGCGGCGGTAGCTATGGCAACCCCTCCGGCTCCTCCGGTCCATCTTCCTGGTGGTAAATCAGTCGTGGTCTTTTGACGATGCCCTCGGGTCTGATTGGCTCCCTTGCTTTATTTTCTTTTGTCTCTCGTTGACGGATACGATCAGATTGAGTCCCTGAGTTCCTTTCTACCTGTGCTATCTCTCAGGGATGGCTTTGTCATGACTGCACGACTTTCATATGCTTGTTTTAGAATCATCTTCTCCACGTTTGCGTATGCTTTAATCTGGTTTCCTTTGTTGTTTCTATCATGTCTCTCTTCGTTGGTTCTATCCATGGCTTTTCTATATCGCTTTGTATGGATATGAGGCATTCGCACAGTCCGGTCTTCTTTTCTTGCTCGGGGGGACACCACTCCTCTCTTCGGGCAACCTATGATCGACACTGCATGAACATCATAGAATGCGTTGTCTTTTTTTTTTCTATGTCCGCTCTCGTCAGATACCCCTTATGTTCGAGCGTCCCCACTGGGGACACGTTCGAGTGACGCGCGTGCGCCGAGCGGAGATTGATGACTTTTCATCATCTCGAAAAGTTCTCTTTTTCTCTTCGCATTTATCTTCGGTGTTGTTATGGCTGCATTCATCACATGCAGCATAGACTTTTTGCAGCGTCGGTATCTCATGGCGGACATTTGTTTCTGTTGCTGCCCTCGTGCGTTCTGCAGTCGATTTTCTTTCGAAAACAAAAATTTGCGCTTTCTCTCTCTGGGCTTTTTTCGGTTACTGGTAATCTCGCCGTTACACCTCACGGCGCAGCTGGTGTTTTTCGAAACCAAAAATGGGTATTCTTTGCATTCTGTATGGCGTTGGCTTGACCTGCTACTGCATGTCCTCTGCTATCGGGTCCGTGGAGGCTGATTGTCTCCGAACAGGAGAAACTTGCCCCATTTCCTTGTCTATTCTGATCATTTTTCTCGGACCTCGGGGGATAGGACGCTGTCGCCGCTGGAAGAATGGGTATACTTATGATCTCTCGGGTTCGAATTGGGAGGGAAGAAACAAACCAACGGCCACGAGAAGGAAAGTTCTCTTATCCAATGCAATTTCGAAAAAAAAAGTGTTTCCCATCACTCTGTTCATCGGTCTGTGAAGTAGGATTCCAGTAGGATGTAGGAGCGAAGTTTGATTCAAGGAAATTGTGGATATGGCAAAGTTGTAGGTGAATGTTTTGGTAATATCCAATCCAAACTCCCCGTGGCTAGATCAATGCCTAAATAATATACATCAGTCAATTGTTACCTATCACATTGCTTACTTGCAATTTTAAATGCGTGGCATTAGGCGTAGCCGCATATTAAACGCGTGAGGTCTCTGACACGGGTAGATATCACACCAGCTATACCTTCATGGGCCACTCGGCTCTGCTTTCTTCCTCTTTTTCCGGTTTTTGATCTTCATTTTCCCTTTTCCCTTTTTTCACTTGGCACTCCTTTTTTTGTCTGTTCTCTTTTTGTTTCTTTTCTCCTATACTACTTCTGCCTCTTTCATCGGCCGCCTCCTAGGGGGCACTTCATGTTATACCCTGCGATTCTCTTAGAATCCGATCGCGGACTTGTTACCGGTTCAAATAAACCAAGATGGCCGACTTCGAAAATAGCATGATGGACGAGTCCTTCGCGGCCTCCGAAGCCGCGGATGATCAGTCTCACGGCATGACCGCCAGCGCGACGGTCGGTACAAGGCGGCAAGCGAACGGCACAATTGGTTCTGTCTACTCTGGTAACAAGATTCGACACCTGAAGAAAGATGATGGCATACCTCTTTGGCGCAAAGACATCCAGTACCAATTCTTGAAGCTGGTCTTTGAGGACAAGACACCCGTTTTTACGCGGTATCCCGACGGACAGAAGGGAATGGACTTCGCAGATGTCTACATCAATGCAATGGCCCGGAGCAGCAAGACCAGCAAGATTTTGAAGGATAAGCTGCAGAACGACAAGCCCGCGGCTATAAATATGGCTATGGTCTGTCTGCTGGTCAACTTCGGTCGCATGAACACTACTTTGAACTGTAAGCTTGCAACTATGCAATAACATGAATTACCTCCGTGTTAATTGTTATTTTCCTGGTTTCTAG